TCCATACCAGCAGGAATTGTAGCGGCGTAGCTATTATCAGATAAATTCAATGTGGTAGAAGGATAGAGTCTTTTCTTTCCTATATGTCTCTGAGGAATGGAGATGCAGGAAACCTCATACTGCAATGTCAATCGTTGCATTTCATAGATTTCATAATAATTGGAAGAGAGCAATTTAACCCCAAGAACAGACAGAAACCAAGGATTGGATGTAGAGATAACTATTAAATTTTCTCCAACTGCCCCCAGACTAATACTTACATTGTCTGGAAACCAAGAGGTACAAAATGGTGAAGAAACAGTAATACCGTCAGAATGAGCATCCTCGGTGGGCATGCTAAGCCTTACTGCATTTTGGTGAATTTGAACTAACAGTCCATTGGCTGCAAGCCCACATGCCAAGGTGCAGACATCGGGCTGGAAACCGACAGAATCAGTCACATCTTTAAAACTCAATCCAACTGACAGGACCCTTGTCTCCTCAACAAATGACAACACAAGAAATGAATGGTAAATATCGGTAAGCTTCATCCGAACAGTCCAAGTACCAGTTATTCCTTGATAAATAGGAGCAGTTTTCAGAAGCTTTTCTACGCTGATGCCACTTCGAATAATTCTAAAGGAGCCTTCAGGTGTCACACCACAGCAAGCAAACATTTGGTCACGTTTCTCATTCTGGTCATCCACAATCGACATATCCAAGATTGGAGCAATATTTTGTATCGGACTCACCCAATGTAGCTTACCGGTTTCCACTTTGAAAACCACTCCATCTGCCATTTCAACGAATGCAGCCAGTAATCCACCTTCAACCCACAAAATTTCCTTGCATGGTAAGCTCTTGTGCAAACACTCTGACAGATTCACTTTCATCCCGTTAGAGTCATAAGTGAGTTCAAACATGAAAAATTCTCCATCATCTAAGCAAAAAATCATCCGGGGGTTACAATAATTTTCTGGCTCCCAAGTCCATGAAGTCACATGCTTGGAACCCAACTTCCCGATGCCACTTTCACTATCTATGCACATGGGATCATAATCCCTGAGCTCCAACAATGCACATGCAGCAACATTAAAAAGACCTTCATCATCTCCATCTTGCACTCTACATGACTCTTCTACAAAATGATCTTCCCCTAAAGAAGCAGGCACGAGATCTAAAGACGTCCTAAACAAACAGCAAGGGTTTTGAGCATCCCTAAGATCCATTAAGAGAGCATCACCAACCCTGAAGAGAAAAGCAAATCCATAGGAATGAGGAACTTCAACAATAGTATGTGATAGTGCTCCGGGCTCGGCATATTCTGACATTAAACATATGGATTGTTCTTTGACATTCCATCTGAACAAAACCAGATCATTCATGAGAGACCCTTTCCTGTACCACAAGCAATAACTAAGATAAGTGATCCTGAAAATATTACACACTCTTATCGAGAAAACACAATCTAAAAAAACAGAAGTTTGAGAGTATAAGGAACTCTTACCTATTCAAAACAATGGCAAGAACAGGGTCATACTCCTTGCTAGGTTCATGAAGGTTTTTAGAAATGAAACACATACTCCAAATGGACCCAGATATTGCTTGTTCTGAAATGATGTCCCCGCTGTTTTCAGAAGGATAAAATATCCTCTGAAAAAAACGTTTACACTACTTTATCCATAATGCTCATATCACAAGAACAAACAGAAAAAGTTTGCTTGACTATTTAAATTGCAATGACGAGTTGGTTGGAAGTTAGAGGCCGAAAGAAATACCTCATTAATAATATCACCCACAGATGATGTTGAAAGGGAAAATAGCCCAAAGTGATCATGGTACGCACTGGCAGCGAGAAAGAGACCACTGCAAATCCCATAATAGGAGTTAACAAATAATTGTTGCTGTCGAGATTAAGAAGAAAACGCTTGTCCCAGTCGGTTTGTGAAGCACTCATGCCAAGTGACATCTATTTTACTATTGAAAGGTGGAAGTTGCTTTTATGAAACATTCATTTTTCTCGCCACACCTTGATTTTAAGAAGAAATCGCCTGCTCCTACTTGCATCAGCTAAATCAAAGTGTGACAAGAAAAATGAGTGCTTCATAAAATCAACTTCCTAGAAATTTCAATAGTAAACTAGATGGGAAATGGCATGAAAACATAAACAACAGATGGTAACCTGAATAGGTACTAACAGCAAGTCATGGATAGAGTCACATGATTAATTAACTCATGGGTCGCGGACAAAAGTAAGAACTACAACTTACCTGGAATCAACAGCAAGCATTCGGCCAAGTTGAAGCGTAGAGTTTCCAGGACTAGAAAGTTGAACATGTGACACAGGAGAGAACCTGCACCAACCAGCAAAACTAAGAACAAATGACACAAAATTTGCAACATAAGTAAGAATATTACGAGAAAGAAACCTGTGCATTTCATTGCTAAATGAGAGAAATGAGAGCTTCCCAGAATCAGAAATAACTGCCAAAAGGTCTTTTCCTGATATCTGTAAAGGATAACAGAAGATCAAATTATATCACAAGAATCCTATTCCTCACAACTAACAACCAAAAATTCATTTCTTGCATTTGGAAACATCTTCAAACAGACCTGTGTACTTCTCATATGAAATTCATTATTCCAAGGTATGACGGCCAAATCCTTAATTGTTCCAAAAACACTCTGCTCACAAACAGATTGAACAATCCCATCTTCACCAATAGATACCAATTCTATGCAGGTCTCCTGAAAAGAAAAAGGAAAACAGAAATCCCATCACAGTTAGTAATTGATCAAAGTAATTCACCATAACATTCCTCGTATGCCGTACATATTGAAGTTTTGCAACACCGACACAGGCTTTTTCCACAAACCCACATCGCTTCCTAAGATTTTAAGATGGTTTAGGCAAAGGCATAAAAAAACTTATCATAAATCGCATGGCATAAAAACATTACTTCAAGCATTGAATAAACAATGAACTTCGCAGATTACCAAGGTCTGATTTTGAAAATGTAACAGAAATTCAGAAAATAATTTCGATCGGTATAACTGGAATGCCAAACTCCTAAACAGACTTGTCATTCTTCACAATCGAAAGAGAAACATGAAATCTGCGTAATTTGAAGATGTTCCTGATAGAGTGATAAAACTGTGACTACACCAAAAAGCACGCATTTCGTTCCTTTCACGATGCCCAAAGGCACGACAACAAAGAAAGGGAAACGAGGACGGACTCTTCGCTCGCATGTCACCTTCACAGAATCGCAGCTTCCAATCGAGCAAATTCGATAGTACGAAAATATCCCCAAACGAGAATCGAATTCGAATCGCAAGAAACCGAAAGAAACAATCAAAAGAGAGAGGAACGATTCACAGCAGGAGAAGCTCGGACCTTGCCGAAAACGATGTCGCGGAAGGACCTGGAGCGAAAGTAGCCATAGGCGACCTGGAGAACAACGCTTGGGCGGAGGACACATTTGGCGAGGTAGCAAACGTCGCCGGAAGACGACGGAGCTGCCGCCGCCGCAGCCGTGGCCGACGTCGATTGAGACTTAGCGTAGGATTCCTCCTCCGGAACCGCCATCGCCAACGGGAACACTAGTTCCGGCGATCAAGGGTTTTCTTCTTCTCGGGGAAATAGCAAAAAAAAAGGTGAGAAATTGGAGTGAAAGCAGACACTGTTTGGTATGATCAGAGGAAGCTTTCAGAAAGACCCTATCTTTTTTGTGTCACCGTCATATTGTTCGTAGATTTAGTCTCTGCTTGAGGTATAGGTACACTATCTGTCTGTCTGTATGTATGTATGTGTATGTATGTGTGTAAATAAATTGCAAACCCTAATCTTTAAACAGTTTCATCAACTTTTCCCCAAAAAAACATATTTTAATTAAATATTTTTATTTAAAAATACCATTTAATTAAATATGCAATATAAGATTTTCGCATAACAATTTGAACAAATATCGGGACGAGAATAGAGATGAAAATTCTTGTTCAGATATTCGAATTCTATCAATTTGATCCATTCTAAGACACGAAGAGCTGTGGCGACGAAGTTCAGGCAACAGACCCTAAAATACCGCCAAAACCAGTCGTGAGAATATTCCCTTCTCCTGTCTTGTTTCTGGGTTCTCTCTCTCTCTTTTTTTTGGATTCTCTCCTCCTTTTTTGTTCGTACCTTGATCCGGTGTTAGATTTCGTTTTCTTACAGGTTTTGTTAATCGACGCTGCTAAATTATCTGTCTGGTCACCTGGTCCGAACCCAAATCCGAGGTATGCAATCCTGTTTGATCAAATCCCATCTGTTCAAACGCTCTTGTTCTGAAAACCCTTTCGAATTCTTCGTTTTTTGCATCTGTTTTCTTCTTGTTCGTGTGGGCACTGAATCCGAAAGGGTTGAGACTTGGTACCGTCTCTGAATTGTGGAGTCGAATGTGTAAATGTGTTCTCGTGATTTGATCGATGTAAATTATGATTTCCAAAGTTCCAATTTAATTCGGGTTGTAAATTATAATCGAATCCGGATCTGTTTGTCTGAAAGATTCGTTGACCTGATCAGGTTGTGTGATCAAACATTCTGAACAATGTAGACATTTTGGGTATGGTGTTAGGGTTTGTCAGTGTGTATATGCAGCTTTTGGAACATCTCTGGCCTCTCTGCCTGAATGTTTTGCGTTTCCCGTTTGATTCTTGAATCTGTTATATTAGTTCTTTGTTATGTTTTTTGTGTTGTGCAGACAAGTCTGATACATCATGGATCCTCCCGTTAAGGATATAGACCGATTTCCCGAGAAAATCGAAGATGAGAAAGAGGGAGGACCCTCTTTCCATTGTGGTCTCTATGATACAGAAGTAGTTCACAAGATAGCACAAGCTTTTCTTCCGGGTTTGGCCACCGCGTGTGTTGACAACACGACGGGTGATATCTTCAGATACCCTGGTTCGGTGGCTGCTGATATTAGAAAAGAAATGATTGAGTATCTTACTCACAGAAGTGAGAGTTTTGTGGCTGAGCACATTGTTCTAGAAGGGGGTTCAGAGGCAGAGGCCTCTAATGATCCACTCGATATCATATCTGAGTTCATCGATGATTTTGCCACGTCAAAGAGAAATCTGTTCAGCCGGGTTTCGGGTTGGCTGCTGAGTGAAAGGAGAGAAGACCATATCGATGATTTCGGGCAGGAGATGGAGATAAACGGGTTTTGGTTGATGGATCACCGAGAAGCAATCGCTCAGACTTTACTTAAGAACGTTGATTTTAAGAACAGTTTTCACTGTAAGTTGAGTTTTAAGACACGGGGAGAACTAGATGAGCATTTCGGACATTGTGGGTATAGATCAATGGACTGTGAAAACGAGGGTTGTACTTCTGTCTTTTGTGCCAATCAGATGGAGAATCATGACTCGGTTTGCCTGTTCAAGATAATCCCGTGTGAGCAGAAATGCTCAGAGAGTATAATGAGACGAGAAATGGACAGACATTGCATCACTGTATGCCCTAAGAAGCTTGTTAATTGCCCGTTTTACGCCATTGGTTGTGTCTCGGGTGTACCTCAATGCGAGCTCCAACAACATCGTATCGATCATCTAAGTTCACACTTGATGTACGTTCTTCGCGGGGTCTACAAGAAAGCATCCATTGATGATCTGAAACCCAGGGTTGAACAGATACAACAGGTGGATATATTAGTATAAAACTAGACATTTTCCTGAGTTTTCCATTCCGGACATAGCTAACTCTCTTGCATCCTCGTATGTTTCATTGTTTCGTTTGTTGTTTGTTGCAGTTGTCTACACGGTTAGCTGAAGCACGGGACGCGAGATCTCTAACCCATCTAGTCAAGGATATTGATCCAAAGCTGGGGCCTTTAGTTATGAAACCGAAAGAAATCAAACCAAAAGGCGAAGTTAACGAAGGAGAAAAGGATACTACAGATTCAGTGGACGATGTATCCGAAGAAACCCAAAAGAAAGCTCTTAACTCGGAAGCTGATATCACGGGAAATGTTGAAGATGAAAGATTGGAAATGAAGATCTCAACAGATGGTTCACCAGAGCAAACTTCGGGAAAAACACCAGAAGATGATGGAAAAGAATCGGAGAAGGGTTTAGCAGACGGTCTAATGGAGGATTCTGTGAAGAAAGATTCTGAAGCGGAAAACGACGTAAAGGAAGACTGTAAGCTGAAAACTGATGAAGCTCAAACTCGGGTACCTGATGCTGATGAAAGCAAAGGTTCAGAAGTTAAAGTCACCGACACTTTTGATGAAGAGGGAATGGAGACAAAGAATTCAACAAAATCTGTGTCAGAAGAATCTGAATCTGAAACTGTACCGACAATGGTCATGGACAAGAAGGATGAAGAGGAAACACATACAATAGACTCAATAAAACATGCATCAGAGGAATCTGAAATCGAAGCTTTATCCACCATAGTCGTGCAGAAGGCAGATGAAGAGGGAATTCAGATGATGAACACATCATTTCATGCATCAGAGGAACCTGAAATCGAGGCTTTATCCACCATAGTCATGGAGAAGGCAGAGGAAGAGGGAACTCGGATAACGAAATCGTCTTCTCATGCATCAGAGGAATCTGAAACTGAAGCTCCACATACAGTAGTAGTCATGGAGAAGGCAGATGAAGAGGGAATTCAGACGATGAACACATCATTTCATGCACCAGAGGAACCTGAAATCGAGGCTTTATCCACCATAGTCATGGAGAAGGCAGAGGAAGAGGGAACTCGGATAACGAAATCGTCTTCTCATGCATCAGAGGAATCTGAAACTGAAGCTCCACATACAGTAGTAGTCATGGAGAAGGCAGATGAAGAGGGAATTCAGACGATGAACACATCATTTCATGCACCAGAGGAACCTGAAATCGAGGCTTTATCCACCATAGTCATGGAGAAGGCAGAGGAAGAGGGAACTCGGATAACGAAATCGTCTTCTCATGCATCAGAGGAATCTGAAACTGAAGCTCCACATACAGTAGTAGTCATGGAGAAGGCAGATGAAGAGGGAATTCAGACGATGAACACATCATTTCATGCATCAGAGGAATCTGAAATCGAAGCTTTATCCACCATAGTCATGGAGAAGGCAGAGGAAGAGGGAACTCGGATAACGAAATCGTCTTCTCATGCATCAGAGGAATCTGAAACTGAAGCTCCGCATACAGTAGTAGTCATGGAGAAGGCAGATGAAGAGGGAACTCAGACAATGAACTCAGCAACTCATACCTCCACAGAAGCTGAAACTGAAGTTTCCCCAAATAATAGTAATGGACAAGAAAGATGAAACATGGAACTGAGAAAAAGAAAACTGCACAGTCATCAGCCCAAGCTGAAACAATAGATTGTATTTTAAACTCGTAAAGCAACATGGAATATTTTCTTACAGAGTTTTGTGTGTTTTGTCTGAAGATGTTCTCATCATTAAATTTATTCAACTTAATGTATTATTGATTTCTGGTTTTCCAATGATGGTATGTACTTCTAGTTCATTGGTCATTTGCCTCTTTCCCCCAAGATCAGAAGCCATTTTCTTGTCAAATTAAATATTTAACATTTGATTTTCTGTAAGGGTCGGTTATATTTTTTCGAACATCCGAATTATTCTAACATAAAAATCGAGTTTAATTTAATTTTTTAAACCAAACCCAAAAATACCTTCACCAATAACCGAAATACCCTCTTAAATTAAAGGAAAAAGAATTCTTTCGATTCTTTAAGGAAGAGATATGGCGGTCTCTCTATTGAATCCGATCACGGGCTCTACCATATTCTTTTTGGATTTAACTTCTGAATTAAAAAAATTAGTAAATTTACGAGAAACTACTTTATAATTTCGAGAAAAAAACATTTAGGTGTTGAATGAGAGGTGGTTTTTCGGAGTTTTTGAATTTTAAAAACTAAAAAAACCGACAATCAAATTTTTTAAAATTTGGTTTTCCTAAAAACCTAGAAATCTACTTTATGAAAAAAATCAACTAAAAATAAAAAAGTACAATTTTTTTTAGATTTACAATTATGAAAACTAAAAACCAAAAACTAAAAACCAAAAACCAAAAACTAAAGCCAAAAACCCAAAATAAAAAACAATGTCATTCAAAGTCTTAGAAAAATGAGACTATTTATTCGAGAGTTGAAACTATTTTATGTCGAAACTATTTTAGAGTTTTTTCAAATTTTTTTTATATTCTTATAATTTTTTTAAAAAATCTTAGTGAGAAAAAACTTTATAATTTTAAAAAACTAGAGAAATCTACAAGTAAATTTTTGTTGGACGAAATCCAAGAGTCCAATAATAAAAAGCCCAAAAAAGGACCACTGAAACCCATTTCATAACTAGAAACCCTAAGACGGCAGCTGAGCATATATTAGGGTTTTCTTTTCTTTCATCGTCTCTTTACGTGGATAGGCGGATAGTTTCTTCTTTCTTCACGCGGCCTCTCCTTCGCCATCACTCACGCGAATCTCAGGTATGTCTGCTCTCCCTCTTCCTCTCCCTCTCCCTCTCCCTCTCCCTCTATTCTCTCTTTTTCTCTCTCTCTTATCCGCGAGCTTCGCTTATGCTAATTGCTGGTGCAGCCATGGCCGCCGCCGAAGCATTGGACGCGGAGATGCAGCAGGCACTCACCAATGAGGTCAAGCTCTTCAACCGTTGGAGCTTTGATGACGTTTCGGTAAGTACCTCACCGATTTATCTGAGTAATTATGGTATTTAGTGTCTCTGTTGGTTGAGTGACTTCGACTTTCCTTCTGTATCAGATCTAGTTTTATGATTGTCGGAATTCGATCCTTGATGTGTCGTTTTTTATTGAGATTTAGTGGCATTATAGTATATATTTTGTGTTTTATATGACAATCGCACTGGCTTATTGTCTTCAGCTGTTTTGTAAAAGTAGAATCAGGTGTTTGACAACTTTAGAGTTTAGATCGAGCATTTAGGTTCCGGAGAGTGATAATTGGTTATTACAATGTCTCTTGACATTGGCAGTTATTGAAGTGTGATACTTGGAAAATTCCAATCGGCCTAAATTTCCCCATGCATCTTCGTACTGTAAAGCTTCATTTACCTTCTTGGAAATAGAGTAATGTCAATCTAATTGGACTATACTAGTCTCCCCTTTTGCTGTTGTTTTGTTATCTTGCTAAAGTTTGTTTGTCTGGAGGAGTTTTCATTAGTTCAATAACCTGGCTGACTTAAAGGGCAGCAATACTTGTTTCTGATAGTTTTCAACTGACTTTTTATTGTGACCCTATCTCTATCTTGAGAAATGATGTTGCAATGCAGGGTTCCTTTATTTTAGTCCTTGCAAGTTATCTGGATTAATGTCAAATTTTTCCCCTGAACATGATATCATACAGGTCACAGACATCAGTCTTGTTGACTACATCGGGGTTCAGCCGGCAAAACATGCAACCTACGTGCCTCACACTGCCGGAAGATACTCTGTGAAGAGGTTCAGGAAGGCTCAGTGCCCAATTGTGGAGAGGCTGACAAACTCTCTTATGATGCACGGTAGAAACAATGGTAAAAAATTGATGGCCGTGAGGATTGTCAAGCATGCCATGGAGATCATCCATCTCTTAACTGACTTGAACCCAATTCAAGTTATCGTTGATGCCATCGTGAACAGGTGCCGAGAGCAACCTCATCTAGTGTGTTTATTCCGACCCATGTGTTTCGTTTTACCACATTAAACTTATTATCGTGGCTTTCGTGTCTTAAACCAGTGGGCCCCGTGAGGATGCCACCAGGATTGGTTCTGCCGGTGTGGTCAGGAGGCAGGCCGTCGATATATCTCCTCTTAGACGTGTAAACCAGGCTATCTACTTGCTCACGACTGGTGCACGTGAAGCTGCGTTCAGAAACATCAAAACCATTGCAGAGTGCCTCGCTGATGAGCTGATCAACGCAGCGAAAGGCTCCTCCAACAGGTGAAACATATACTTCAGTGTCTCTTCCTTGCCAATTCGTTACTCGAATGTTGCTGGCTTAATTGCATAAACCTTACACTTCCATTGACGTGTGCAGCTACGCCATCAAGAAGAAGGACGAGATTGAGAGAGTTGCCAAGGCCAACCGTTGAAGAACCTCCCTTTTGCCCTGCATTACATATCTTCAAAGAGTGTTTTGTTTTGCAATTTTTTTTTTCAATTACAAGCATGGGATGATGTTTCAGATGTTTTGTTCAATTGGCAAGAACTTAATTTCATATAAACTTCTTTAGTAGATAGATAAATTTTGAGACGCCTTTAGCAACTTGATACGGTTTTCGTAACTCGTATTTTTGCCTCGGCCAATATTAAGCCTAATTTTTTTTAGAACTTATTACTGCTGTGTTTCTTCTACTTCAGCAGCATCGTAAAATGTTCGTACTTCAGCAGATTTCCATTTAGCCCAAGAACGGCAAATCAGATTGAGAGTTTGGTCCAAGACTCTAAGGGGATGGGAGAAGAGCAAATCAGGTTCAATCCCTACTTGATACGCCTTTAGCAACTTGATACGGTAATATATTTGTTTTGTTAAAACAATATTTATATTTATTTATTTTAAAAAAATATTTGGAAATATTTGGAAAAAAAATGTACGAACAAACGTGGTTACGTGGAGGGTTGTGATGAGCACGCGGCGCTGTCTCTGGTGCAGTGAGAGGGATGACTAGTTTTGCCTGAATTTGAAGGGTTCCGATAGTTAGTGCGCTTCTGTTGGGTTTGGGCTTTTCTTTTAATGTTTTTTTTTGGGTAAAATATTGTTTCTACTAGTATTTCCATTTGTTTAAATAAAATTTACGATTAAATTAATATTTCGAATTTATTTAAATAAAGGTTGAAAATAAGGAACAGAGATTTGACATTTTCTCATGGTGATATTTCTCCCATTTTTTTTTTCTCGTCGGGATTTAAAATAAAATCAACTGTCACGTCAGATCAGGTGACATCCTCGGTGTGAAGCAGCCACGTCGAGGCCTTGTATGACGTCATCATTCGGAGTTCCTTCTTTGTCACGTTCTCATTGGTCCGTCTTGTTTCGCCGACCAAACCACGGGAACATACATACACATTTGAGGTGTGTTCCAATTATACCCTCGTGATTTCACGAAAATATCATTTTAGTCACCGACCGAGAGGATCGATTGAGTTCCCCTGGAGAAACTCTCACTAACTTCTTCTCTGATATTTTCTCTGTTTCTCGGTCTCTCGATCCGTCTGTCAATCTCTCTCTGACCAATGACTGTGATTACTCCGCCGCCAGTTGATGTAGATCCCGATTCATCGTTTGTTGTGTTTGTGTTTTTTTTTTTGGATGTTTCCTTTGTGGGTTCTGTCTGTATTCACTCGAATCAGCATCTGAGTATTTGTTCGCTTCGTTTATGTGATCCAGTAGTTTTTTTTCTTCCGATTTTTTCATTGTGATAGTTTTGAATCATTCGAAAGTGCTGCAATTTTGTTATGTTCGTTATTTTGGTTTCTACTTTTCTTTTTTGTATTTTGATCACGGGAAGGCGGGATTAGGGTTTTCCTGGGTCATAGGTCTGATTTTTGTACCGTTTGCTGTTCGGATTTTGCAGCAAGAGGACGAGGAGATGCTCGTGCCGCACTCGGATTTGGTCGAAGGCCCTCTGCCCATGGAAGGCAAGAGTTATCGATTTTGATCTTCTGCTTAAATCCTCCCCCTTCTTTTCTCTTGCTTTTGATTTGATGGATTAGATACGATAGAGCTTGTGGGTTTATCACATTGTAGTGCCCATAGTGTAGGGTGCTATAGGGTTTTGTGATTTTATGGATGTTGATCTTTTTTACCAAGTGTTGATGCATTTGTAGTTGCCCAACCTGCTGAGCCTGCAAGTACTGTGGAGAACCAACCGGTGGAAGATCCTCCCACTCTGAAATTCACCTGGACTATCTCAAATTTTTCTAGGTTGAACACCAGGAAGCATTACTCTGACATGTTTATTGTTGGGGGCTACAAATGGTAATAGTGTAAATACTTTTTAGCCTTGAGTTTTTGCCTAACATGCATTTTGATTGGTTTTGGCCATGTGTGTTGTCTATTACATGCAGGCGGATATTAACTTTTCCGAAGGGAAACAATGTCGACCATCTGTCCATGTACTTGGATGTCGCTGATTCTGCGTCTTTGCCGTATGGATGGAGCAGATATGCACAGTTCAGTCTGGCTGTAGTCAATCAAATCCATAACAGATATTCCATTAGAAAGGGTATTTGTAGTTGCTTAATTCCTTTTATATAGACACGTCATTCTGATTGCGTGTAGCACATTTTGTGGATTCTAAAAGTTCAAATGTTGGGTTTGAAGAAAGGAGTCACTGCAAGATTTTGGAAGAGAATCAGGCAATGAACGGCTTCATTTTACCTGAACAGACAAAATAAAAATTATTACTTAGAATCAGCGTTGTACAATCTTCTGAGCTTCCTAGTCAGTAAAATATCTACTAATTTCTGGTAACCTTGGAATTTTGAATATGTAGGTGTGAGTCTCATGGCACAATTGAATCTTCAAGTGTTTTTAACATTACACTTTACCTTTTCCTCCAGAGACGCAACATCAATTCAATGCGAGAGAAAGTGATTGGGGTTTTACATCATTCATGCCTCTCAGTGAACTCTATGATCCTAGTAGAGGGTATTTGGTGAATGATACTGTTGTTGTTGAAGCTGAAGTTGCTGTACGTAAAGTTCTTGATTACTGGTCTTATGACTCAAAAAAAGAGACCGGTTTTGTTGGACTTAAGAACCAAGGTGCAACTTGTTACATGAATTCTCTGCTACAGACCCTATATCATATGCCTTACTTCAGAAAGGTTGTAATTCATTTCTATCTTTCTTTTTCAGGTCTTTAATTTATTTTTTTTTCTGGTTTTTGAATGATTGCGTCTTAAGTGTGAGCTGTATTTGTAGGCTGTCTACCACATGCCAACGACTGAGAATGATGCGCCTACAGCAAGTATTCCTTTGGCCCTCCAAAGTTTGTTTTACAAGCTTCAATATAATGACACTAGTGTTGCAACGAAGGAGCTGACAAAGTCTTTTGGTTGGGATACATACGATTCTTTCATGCAACATGATGTCCAAGAACTCAACCGAGTTCTCTGTGAAAAGCTTGAGGATAAAATGAAGGTGATTTCTGTTTTGCAGCTTGGCCATTGGTTGCTTCTCAGTTGATGTTTTTTTTTTTTTTTTGATCCTTTGGTATTATTTGCTTTCTAGGGAACAGTTGTGGAGGGAACAATACAACAGCTCTTTGAAGGCCATCATATGAATTACATTGAATGCATAAATGTAGATTACAAATCCACGAGAAAAGAGTCATTCTATGGTATTTAGTCTTATTTGCTGCACCATTCTCTATTATCTTTTTTTTTTTGGTTTTATGAAGACAGTTTTATACTTATGTATCTGTTACATAACAGATCTCCAGCTTGATGTGAAAGGCTGCAAGGATGTTTATGCTTCTTTTGACAAATATGTCGAAGTTGAACGACTTGAAGGAGAAAACAAATATCATGCAGAAGGACATGGTTTGCAGGTTGGATGTCCTACTTTTTTCTCATAACACGCTCTTGGGAACCTACATTAATTCAAAATGTACCTGTCTGGGTACATTTCATTTTCATCTGGTTGCTCATTTTTGTATATTGTTGGTGTAGAAAGGTTTCATAATGTATGGGAAATTCCTTAGGAAGCTGTTTGAATTCTTATCATATTTTCCCAATTAGTATATTCTTTGAAACCGAGCAATTGTAGCTGACAACTATCATTTTTACTGTGAAAATGAAGTTGGCATATCTAGTCTTATTCTGAAGGAACACCATTTTTATCGTTTTAGGATGCCAAGAAAGGCGTTCTATTCATGGACTTCCCACCAGTTCTTCAACTTCAACTGAAGAGGTTTGAATATGATTTTACGCGGGACACCATGGTGAAGGTTAGTGTTGAAAGATCCAGGTTCCTAGAAACGAGTGAGCATGTGGTGGTGACCGTCTATCTGTACTATTTTTTGATGTTGACAATTTGCAGGCTTTGATGAGTGCTGATGAAGTTTTTATTTATAGATAAATGATCGGTATGCATTTCCTCTGCAATTGGATCTTGATAGAGAGAACCGAAAGTATTTATCTCCTGAAGCAGACAAGAACGTGTGCAATCTTTACACACTTCATAGGTATGTTTTTTGTGAATTTATATAGCAGTTTCAAGAAGGGGAGCCTTGGCGCACCGGTTAAGGTGTTGTCGTTGTGACCTTGAGGTCACAAGTTCGAGTTCTGGAAGCAGCCTCTTGCAGATATTTCTGCAAGGTAAGGTTTACTTACAATACACCCTTGTGGTGGGACCCTTCCCCGGACCCCCGCTCAGCGGGATGCTTTGTGCACCGGGCTGCCCTATATAGCAGTTTCAACAGGAGTATGCATTTTGTGCGGGGTGTTACCACTGAATTTATATAGATATATGCCTGCTTTCTGTTGCTTAGGTTTACTTGGATAGTTAATTAACATGGTTTGTCCTACTATATCATTACTAGTCATTATTTAGCTCATCGAGAAAAGCATACCATCATCCTTTATCTGTTGCCACATTTGCCTACTTAGCCCTGTTATGTTTCTGTAGTGTATTAGTTCACAGCGGTGGAGTGCATGGTGGGCACTATTATGCTTTTATAAGGCCAACATTGTCTGATCAGTGGTATGCATCTTCTGGATCTCTTATTCTTAAATAAGTTTCAAAGATATGGGAGGAGTGCATGACGGGCACTATTATGCCATCTTCTACTCTATCTGCTTGACCTCTGTTTTCTTAGAGGCTGTCACCTGAAAGCAATAGTTACTCATTGTGAGAAATAATGCAGGGCATGATAATTAAGGTAGGTTTAATAGAAGCTAGATTAGCACTCTGCAGGATTTCTTTATTCTTGAAAAATGTCCGAAGACATTTGTTTTTGTGGATATACAGGTATTGATGTTGGAGCTGGCTTTTAATAGTTTGATGTGTTGGATTGTAGCATGTCAACATTATGCAAGATTAGCATAATTTGGCCTACTTAGTTGCTCTGTCTAACAAGAACAAAACATTAAAGTTGGTGTTCATGCAAATAGCTTCAGCAGTGATGTTATGTTTGAAGGATGACACCAATTTGTGCATGGTCATTGTGATTTTAGTATCATCTCATAAGATTCACATTCGTCGACATTTTTACTGTTGATTTCATCATTTTTGTTTTTGCATATTCATTTATTCACGTGATAATATTTGATTTTTAATATCTAGGTTCCTTTGTGGTCCCTGGCACTAGTTTCAGTTGACAATGGCAAATGTTCACTATCTATCCTTTTCTCTTCAGTATTAAAGCCTCTAAAATTGTGCAGGTATAAATTTGATGATGAACGAGTAACCAAGGAAGATATGAAAAGGGCAATGGAAGAGCAATATGGTGGCGAGGAAGAGGTAACATTTTCTCGTCAGCTATTCTATGGTTCTCCGGTCTCTTAATTCACCTGATGCGTTTTCTTCTTTTATGTCCTTTCAGTTGCCCCAAACTAATCCTGGTTTCAATAACCCATCTTTCAAATTCACAAAATACTCGAATGCATACATGCTTGTGTATATTCGGGAAAGTGATAAAGATAAAATAATTTGCGGCGTTGATGAGAAGGACATTGCGGAACATTTAAGGGTAAAATATTGTTTTTGTCATCTGTTCCTTTTGATTATGCACGTCATTATTGCATCTGAGTTTTCTTGCAATCTAACAACAGGTAAGACTAAAGAAAGAACAAGAAGAGAAGGAAGATAAAAGAAGATACAAGGCTCAGGCTCACCTTTTCACTATTATTAAGGTTTGCTTCTATGGTTTAATTGTTTTTGATGTTATGTCAATCTGATGTAGAGTACTGTTGTGGTTCTGTCATGACTAATGCTATTTATGACTGTGAAGGTTGCAAGAGATGAAGACATTGCTGAACAAATTGGGAAGGATATTTATTTTGATCTTGTTGATCATGACAAAGTTCGCAGTTTTCGAATCCAGAAACAGACCCCCTTTCAACAATTTAAGGTGCTTGCCATATTATCTGCTTTATCTGAATTTTTCCTTGCCTTAGTTTCTGTTTATCGAAGAAAATAGAGCTTGTTTGATGGAAGATATGTTTTGCAAAGATTCCACCATTTGGTTAATCAAACCCACCTTGCGCTTAAGAAAATTTGATAAGGATCTTCAGTCAGAGATCTCGGCTTTGTTCAGAAATCTTACAATAAGTGTTTCAGTTTTGGCGGGATAACTTTTCTGTTAGAAAAGAATTTTTTTTTTTTTTTGGGGGGGTGGGGGGAGGCTGTCGTGATGATGATTTGCTACTATTGGTACTTACGAGTGAACTCATTGAAATGGCATGGAAGAAATTAATTGGTATTGCTTGAATGTCATTGTAATTGCTGACGATGGTACTTCTTGAACCTTAAAAAATTGACGTTTACCAAGCTTTGTAGAAGACATTAAATTTGATAATATCACTTGGTTTAATCTGAAGGTGAATCTTAAAAGACCCTTTAACAAGATAATAGCTATGCTTATATCGTTGAGACGATTATTTGCTTATTTTTCCCAACAGCTGTACGTTGCAAATGTCTTTATTTTAATATAAATCTGCCCTTGCTCTTCGTCAAATATGTTCATACATGGAATTTTACCCACTTGGTTCTTGTAAGTCTTTTGTTGTTGGCTCTATGGCTCCTTATAGTTCTATTGGTTTTATTTATTTGAGAATTGAAATCGTTTCAAGTACAATTTTCTGCTGGACTATAGGAGGAGGTTGCCAAAGAATTTGGTATTCCAGTTCAATTTCAGCGTTTCTGGATCTGGGCAAAGCGGCAAAACCATACCTACCGTCCTAATCGTCCCCTAACACCTCAGGAGGAGTCACAGCCGGTAATTTAATAATTTATTCCTTTTCTTCCCTCATATGAATAGGATTTGTCTCTTCCGTCTTGAATTATTCTTTTTATCTGCAATTTGTTTACAGAAAAAAAAAACGAAAATGATGTGCTTAGAACCAGTCTATCTGCTATTGATTTATTCTTTCTGTAGAATATTATTTCAAGTGATCCCATCTGTGTCGAGCATATTCATAGCCCTTTGTTTAACTGAGCTTTCAGAGAACTGCCATACCTTGTGTTTTTATGTTGCGGAGTAGAGTATTTATTGCTCTGTGCAAGGTTAACTGTAGTTGATTTTTGTCCTTGTGTAGGAGAGTCCTACTGTAGATAACTCTAGTTGCGTAGTGATGTGTTTATTTTGGAATATTTACTTTAAAATGTTTTTGTAGGTTGGACAAATAAGAGAGGCGTCGAACAAGGCAAACAATGCAGAATTAAAGTTGTTCTTGGAAGTAGTACATGGACCGGTAAGAATACCTTGTTGGGAAGTTTGATTCCTGAGGCCTTGTGTCATTTGAGGAGAGTCTGAATAGACTCATCGCAGGAAAGAAAAGCTAAAAGTCATATTTAACCTCTTTGAATAAATCAGGATTTACGTCCAGTCCCTCCTCCAGACAAATCAAAAGATGAGATTCTTCTTTTCTTTAAGCTTTATCATCCTGAAAAGGCAGAAATAAGGTAATACTAGTTTCCAACTTTTGTTTTGTTCTCTGTCTACTCTTCAATTGCTTACCACTAGTACTACTACAACTAATTGGTAATCTTATAAAGAAAAGATATTCATTTCCTCTTCTTTTCCAGCAGAAAAGTTATACTTTCTCTGTCCATCAGTTACATTTTCATTTTTTTTAGTTTTATCCACTGGAGCTCATTTTCTCTCCTAAATATTTCACAACTTTGTCTTCTTCGTGTTGCCAGATATGTTGGTCGACTCATGGTGAAAACTTCCAGCAAGCCATTGGATATTGTTGGAAAACTGAATCAAATGGCTGGCTTTGCTCCTGATGAAGAATTAGAACTTTTTGAGGTTTGCTGCTTCTGCCATTTGTCTCCTAGATTTGTCTGTATGCTTATGGTTTAATATCTTTTTCAATGCCTTTTGGGCTGATTTTCAGGAAATAAAGTTTGAACCTTGTGTTATGTGTGAACACGTGGATAAGAAGACTTCATTCAGATTGTGCCAAGTAATGATTTAATCTCTTATTTGCTGAAGGTCTCTGTCTGATGCCATCTCTTTGACATGACTTGGTTTTCTTTCATGCAGATTGAAGATGGAGATATAATTTGCTACCAGAAAGCTCCTACTGACAAGGAGAGTGAATTCCAATACCCAGATGTGCCTTCATTTTTTGAGTATGTTCAAAATCGACAGGTATATTGTACTTTTTTGTTTTCAATAGTTAATATTGCTATATCTTAGTAGAATTATGCTAAAACTAAAGTCACGGTGACTAGGTTTCTGTCCGGATCAGTAGAATGGTTCTTATGCTAACTCCTTTATCCTTGATAAAAGTTCCTTTTCTTCGTGGCATCTGAGCAACATGTACGTCAATAACTTCTTTGTACTGTGCCTGTGGGTGATATCCACTATATCTCCCTCCAAGCTATCTAATTTTCTTTAGAACCTAGCTTTATTTTCTCTCTCTATCTTGTTATAATATAATATACACATATACACACTAGATAGATATATACTATTCGTTGTCTCTCCCCTTCCTTCCAGTCAATTTTAACCCTTCAAGTCTACATCTCTCTTTTCCAGTCTAGCGGTCAGGCACGTAATTACTGACTCTACTGAGTGAGTTATATCTGACTGTTATTACTATCTCCTACCTTCTACCTTGGGCTTCTGTTTTCTGCCGTTTACCTTTGATCATTTCCGTGTTAGTTGTAGATTCTGCTTATTTGCTGACTTTTTGTTTAGTTGTAGGATGGCTGCCATGGTTTTGTTGGGAGTGATTGACTAATGTGGCTTTTGATTTTGTAGCTGGTTCGGTTTCGTGCTCTGGAAAAACCGAAGGAAGATGAGTTTGTTCTGGAGTTGTAAGTACCTCTGTGGATGTTGCACTATCTGCACAAAGAACAGCTTCTGTTTCTTTTTCTTTTTCTTAGACTTTTCATTTTTAGGTCTAAGCTGCAGACTTACGATGATGTTGTGGAAAGAG